AAGTCAAAGATCAAGGTGCCAACCCATTTGTTGTCTGGTAAAGGCTCACTGTTCTATATGTGATCCTTTGTTGCTTTTGTATGTGCACAAGACAGAAGGGGCAAATACTATATTTTTTTCAGTACTGGGGATTAAATCCAGGGCCTTTGTGTTACAGGGTTTTTGGGTGCTGGAGTCTCTGGAAGTGGCTTCTAGCTTCTTCTGCCTGAGCAAAGAATTGGTCAAAACAAGCACAGACAGTAACAAAGTTTTATTAAAGATAGGAAAAGAAACAGGCTCTTCAAAGTGAGTTTGAACCAAACAAAAGTAGGAAAAGAAGTACACCCTACAGTATGAGGGCAGATAACCATGCAAGAGAGCACAGGGGGCAAAAACTCAATGATTTTGTATCACCCACTCCTCAGCCTGATGTCATTTTTAGGCCTCCCTATTGAAAACCTGCTCCATAGAAGTCCACATGCAGGGCTTTGGAACTGTGCTGAGCGTGTACTGGGGGACCTTGTCACACCTCCTCTTGCAGTCAGTTTTAGCCATGCCTTACCTTTCTATCCCATTTGCACTGAGCTACACCCCCAGATCCCTCCCTTTCTGGATTTTTGAGATAGCATCTTGTTATATAGTTCAGGCTGAGCTTGAACTCACTAGCCCAGGCTGGCCTTAAACTCACAGTGATCCTCCTGCCCCAGCCTTCTGAATTCTGAGATAACTCATGTGCACCACCATGCCCAGCTCCCAGCCCTTTTTTATATTTCATTTTTGAGTTAGGATCTTGCTAAGTTACTAAGTTGCCCAGGCTGGGCTTTTTTTTTTTTCTCCTGTGCTGTGGATTGAAGCCAAGGTCTATGCATGTTGGGCAAGTGCTTCATCACTGAGCCATACATCCAGCCCTAGCACTTTTTTTTTGGTGTGGGGAATCTAACTCAGGACCTTCCGCTTTTGAGGCAGATGCCGGAACCACTGAGCTAAATCCCCGGCCCATCTAGCACTTTTGTTTATAAAGTCACTAATCCTGTTCATGAAGGCAGAGTCCTCCTGATCTATTACTTCTTCAAAGAGCCCCAACTTCTATTACCTTGGTAACTAGGTTTCAACATGGAAGATTTTGGAGTGAGCATACACTCAGACCACAGCCATTCCTTAGAGGAGGGCTGTGCCCCTCTTTCCTTCTTTGCAGTTGGCCCTTGGGAAGGGCTTGTCTAAGGGAAAGGAAAGGGAGAAGCAGAGCAGTTACAGTTCCTATCCTCTGAACAAAGACTTCACACCCGCTGGGATGCAGCAGCTGTCTCCCTTCTGCAAGCTCTCCTCCCCAGGGCAGCACAGCCACCACCTCCCAGGGAGCCCGGGAAGGGGCTGCCTGTCTTCCCACCGGACAGCAGAAGACTTGGTCCAGGCAGGAGAGCTAATGGTGTGGTGTGCCTGAAAACACAGCTCAGGAAGAGCTTGGAAAACCGGACCCTCTGGATCTTCGATGTGGTTACTCTTTCTTTCCAGGCCTCAGCCTCAGCTGCCTCTCCCATTTCTCCTCCACCCTGCCCTCCCAAAACACTGGCAGGATTGCTTCACATTGTTGCTTAAAATAGAGTAAGCTAAAGATTTTTGAGCCCTTACAATGGGTGAGGTGCTGTTCTAAGTTCTTTCCTTGAATTAACTTGTTTAATGTTTACAACAAATCTGTGAGGTAGTAACTAATTTTATCTCCATTTTGTAGAAATGGAGGTACGAAAGATGAATGCAGCTTATTCAGCATTACACAGCTAGTAGCAGAGTTAGGGTTTTAATTCAGGCAGTCTGATTCCTGAGCTTGGGCTTCTCAGGTCAGAAAATGCATCCCTGTAAGTCTCCTTTCTCTTCCCTTCCCTTCTCACCCTTTTCCTTCTCCCTCCCTCCCTTCCTTCCTTCCTTCTGGGATGTAACCCAGGGAGAACTGAGCTACATCCTAGCCTTTTAAATTTTTAAAAATTATATTTTGAGGGACAGTCTCTCTGAATTGCCCAGGCTGGCCTCTAACTTGAGATCCTCCTGCTTCAGTCACCCAAGTAGCTGGGATTACAGGTATGCACCACCACCTCTGGTTTATTTGTCTTTATTTTTATTTTTCTAATAACAACAATAGTAGTGATACTAGCAATGATCAACATGAATGGATTGCTTACTATGTGCTAGGCCAGTTCTGTGTTACATGTTCTGACTCATTTGATTCTTAACACTAGTACTGGAGCATTGAGGAGTACTGGCATCATCTTTTACATGTAAGGAAACTGAGGCACAGGAAGCCGGAAAGCAAGGAGGGATTACTTGACAGTCGTGCTCCAGGGCCAATCTTTTTACCTGGTGTTATCTGGCTTCCCTGAGGACTATTCAGCCCAAGAGTCAGAATCCAAGGCTCTTTGGGTTTATGCAGCATGATCTCTGCATTTGAAAGCTAGTCTTCTATTTTGTTTCTTGATTTCTAGACACCTTTATCCTTCCCAATCAGAATTCAAGATCCACAAAGCCAGTTTTGTTTCCGTTTTTGTTTTCAGTGCTGGGTACTGCACTGAATTACATCTTCAGCCCTTTTTTAATTTTTAATTTTGGGACAGGGTCGTGCCAAGTTATTAAGTTGCCCAGGCTGGGCTCAAACTTTCCATCCTCCGCCCTCAGTCTCCCAGAGTGCTGGGATTATAAATATGTACCACCATGCACAGCTCACAATGTCAGGTTTTAGGACAGGGTCTCACTATGTAGTTCAGAACAATAGCTAAGGCTGGGCTTGAACTCATGGCAATTGTGCCTCAGCTTCCCAAGTGCTTGGATTATAAGCGTGTGCCACAGGTCAGTAGATATCTGTTTAATTAAATTATGGATGTGAGAAAGTGAGTGTCCCAGGATCCTTTCTCACCAGAATGAAGTGATCATCCACTGATGACCTGAACACTAAACTCAGTAAGTCCAAGGCTTGCTGCCTGGACCACCAAACCCACTGCTATGTACCAGATCTTTCAAGTAAAGTAAGTCTGGCCAAGGATTTAGCTCAGTGGTTCCACCACCTGATTTGCAAGCACAAGGTCCAGCGTTCAATCCCTGGTACCAAAAATAAAATAAAATAAAATAAAGTAAGTCTGATGTTAATGTGTCCTTGGGGCCCTTACTACTTAGAGAAGCCATCATGACAATAAATACAAGTGTGTGCTCTGTAAATGGAGTCCTAGGTAGTAAATCTAGGCCCTACTTGCAAGTAAGAAACTTGACAATTAAGCCTCAGAAATGGCCGGAGTTTGCCCATAACTATAATCTTAACCTCTTTTTTGTGGTACTGGGATTGAACTGAAGGCCTTTGCACTGAGTTACATATCCAGCACAGTTTTTATTTTCTGTTTTGAGAGAGTCTTGCTAAGTCTCTAAGTTGTCCAGGCTGGGCACCAATTTGCATTCCTCCCGCCTCAGCCTCCCAGAGTGCTGGGATTACAGGTATGTGCCACCAGGCCTGGGTATTATTTTCCTTTACTTGAGAGAGACAGAAGATCTAGAGGAATATTGCTCTTCTTAAAAAGAGGGAAAGTTGAGTTACTCAAGGTCACCCAGCAAGTAAAGGGTGAAAGGAGGCCTAGCATCCTGTTCTCTTAGTCAGGAGATGGTTTGGGGTGACCTGCAGGATCCATTTCAGATTAAGGTTTCCATCATCTGTACCTGTCCGTTCCTCTTTTCAAGGGAAAACTGAGGTCCAGAGATTTGAAATTTATAAATGGCCATTAGTGCTGAGCAGGAATTTGGATGCACTCCAAGGCTTCAGAAACACAAGGCTTTGGACCCACTAGAATATGCTCAAGAGTCTGATTTAAGGTCCTTAGGGCAAGATTCTTCCAAAAACATTCATGACCCACCACAGGGAGGCCCTCCAGTCAGGCAGCGAACATGTACAGACCACTCCTGGAGCTGTTTGTGCGTTCCTCCTAGGTGGACCTGCCACCTCTTTTGTGAAGTGACAGCTCAGGAGACTTCTGTGTTCACCAAGGCCAATGAAAAGCCCGGGAGAGGGTTAAGAAGACTGAGAGCAACAATCATATTAATTTGAAGGTGGCAGGGCAGAATGGTTCTGTGATGCAGTTTATGAAGCACACCGCATGCCATACCTTTTAGTAAACTAGTGAGGCCTAGTGAATGACAGAGCCGTCAGGGAGGCAGACAGGAAATCTAACTTGACCGGCAGTCAATCAGGGAAAGGGACACACCTGCATAGCTGGAGTGGGTGGTGGGGATGAACTACTGGCTCCTAACAGCAGACAGGAAGTTTCTATAAAGGAAGCCTGGTGTTTTCCTCCCCAACTCAGTTCCTACAGACCAAGAATACATTCTCAGTTAGAAAACACAATTTGGTTCCACCTCTGCCTGATTCCTACAGTATAGTTTTATCTATTTTTTCAATTTGCCTTTTCCCCATTCCACCATTCTTCATAAAGTAACTGGTGTATGTGCGCAGACATTTTTTTTAACTCAATGGTAAATGGCATGTTTTGGTGGACATCAAATGGAGAAGAGATGGGGGAAGATACTTGTTCTGTGAAAACACCTCCTCTTCTCCCTTAGTGGCATGTTCAATAAGCTCCCATCTTTTTTTTTTTTTTTTTTTAATAAGCTCTCATCTTTTTAGTCCGGTGAATTATTATGCTTTTTTTTTGAGACAGGGTCTCAGAGGTGAATTCATTGCTTTAGCAACAAAAGCAGTATTAAAATAACTTCATACCTTGTTCAATTGGAGTTTAATATTTTTTACTTATCATTGTGTAAAACTAAAGACAGTTTTATAACTTTTTAAAATAATTTTTCTGGGTATAGCTGTTACTTGTTACTTTGGTCTTAGGTGGGGATAAATCAACACTGGCTTTGGGTTAGACCTGAGTTTGAATCCTTACTCTGCCACCCATGTGATCCATACAAGTTATCTAACCCTCTCCCTTCAGTTACTGCACCAGTAAATTGAGAATAAAAGCATCTTTCTCATGGGACTGTGGGGAGAACAGATAAAATAAAGCACATGAAATCCTGTGAGAGAGGCCGTGGGAGGAGTAGTTTTGTGTGAGTGAGATGACTGGGAAAGGTGCCAGGTCCTTGCAAGACTCCGGGTCAGGTAGTATTCTTTCAGCTTGATGAACCTGCATCCAGGAGGGCTCAGGACTGGGAGAGGGCGACCCTTCCCAGTCTGTGGGAAGTGGCTAAGGAAATGGACAAGCGATGGGCAGTTTGGGTTACGAAGAGGAGCCCAGGGTGAGAGGCACGGCGTCCAGGGCTTGGGGAAATAAGAGGGGGCAGCAGATGGCCGCCCCAGAAAAACTTCGAGGGTCTGTGCCGGGCTAGCGCCCCAGAAGCTCCGCGCTGGCACCGCTGCCCAGCGGTGCTCGGCCAGGACGCTCGGTTCCCCAAGAAAGATGCTGCTTCAGTGTTTGCAGAGGTTAATCAGGTCCGCGAGCCCAGTCTGTGGCTGCTGCCGGTCCTCTTGGTCCTCGTGTCCCGCGGGAGACGTTGGAGGTGGTGGCCCCAGCGGGTCGCGGCTGAATCGCTGCTACACCGGTGCTTCCGAGGGCGCCCACGCGAAGCGGTTACCCTTCCTGGATGGTTGCTTCCCTCGGCCGAAGAGGAAGGACGCAGGAAACGACCTCAGCCGATAGGCAGGTAGCACCTTGACCTCGGCGATCCGCTAGCCTCCAGTAGCTGCTTGGCGACTGCGCGCCTCCCCGCCCCTCCCACGGGCTCAATCCCAGGCGATCCAGCCCGGGTTTTATAGCAGAGCTCTGGGGCTGCGGTTGCAGATTCCTCAGCTGTCGCCCTCCGCAGCAGACCGCAGCGCAAATCATGGTGCTGCACGAACTGTGGAGCGCGCTGTCCGGAGCCTCCGGGGCTGCCCTGGCCTGCTGCTTCGTGGCGGCGGCGGTGGCCCTGCGCTGGTCGGGACGCCGGACAGCGCGGGGCGCAGGGGCCCGGGCGCAGCAGAGGCAGCGAGCGGGCCTGGAGACCATGGACAAGGCAGCGCAGCGCTTCCGGCTTCAGGTGACGGCCGGGGAGGTGATGGGCTTGGCTGCGGGTCCCCACGCAGCTCTTTCAGCAGTCCTGACGCGCGCAGGGCGGGTGCGCGGGGAGCTCGGGGATGACTATAGAACCTCTTTCCGTGGAATGGAAACGAAAGGGACAGGGCAGGTCGTGGAGGGCCATCGCAGCCCTGGGTCAAAGAGGAGCTTTGCTGAGCGTCCAGAAGACTTAGACGCTAACACGATCCGTGAGGACCAATAGGATGCTAGACTTTAGGACTTTGGACCCTGGAGCGATAGCCCAGGGCCTCGGGAGAGCTTAGAATTCAGGCTTCTTGTTTTGTGCGTGAGGATCTTAAGAGGGAGCCGGAAAGAGGCCCACGTACGTGGGAGTTATTGGCAAAGTTGGTCTAGAATGGAAATCTTCCCAACTTCTGCCACCCAGGCTGTTGTGTCCAACCCCTGACAACGCTTTCCACCAGCACGTTTAGTTCCAGCCCTTCCCTGGGAAATCTGTCAACAAGCTTTGCTTCTCCCAGCTCTGTAACTCTATGATCTCAGTGTGTGTTTGGGGGCCACGGCGGAGTGTGGAGGAGAAAGTGCCATCTAGAACACGGGGCTTTTCCCTTCAGATGTATGAAACACTGGCCCCAGTTAGCATTCGAAATGCTGAGCTCTGGGAAATGATCTCGTGTTGAGGAAGAGAAGACTTGCTGTGAGGGCGGGATCTGAGAAGACAGCCCAGGTGACTGAAAGCTGGAGTCAGTTGAGTGTGCCTAGGTGGGAGGCACAGAGGCAGTCACTGAAAATTGCGTTTAGCAGGTTCTCAGGGGAACTAGAGCTTAGGTGTGCAGCAGGACCCCAGCTGCCCTGGAGAGAAGGAGGGGAGAGAGACAGGGCCTTGGATGCCAGGCCCAGCATTTGGACCTGAATGTAGGTGAAATTTTGGTTGTAATTAATTTGAATTTACCCCACACCACCCCTGAAGCTAGGACGTGTTGTATTTATTTTATTTATTGAAGTAAAAATATATCTGGGTTCCAGGCTCCACTCATCAAATTGGCCAAAAAGACCACTGTCTGTCAGTGTTAGGTTCTCTCTGAACAGTTTGGGAGGGCCCTGGTGTTCAAACTGGCCACCTCCTGCTCCTGAGCCCAGGGTCCAGACTCTTGTGTTTGGCTGAGATCTGGAGATGCCTCTCTAGGGATCCTTGTGATGCTACTGGTTCAGCCTGGAGACTCTGAGCTCTTGGCTCTTGCCCTGCTGTGCAGTCAGCTGAGTTCTGCTAGCTCCCCCACTCAGCTCACAGACACAGAAATCTGCCCACAGTTTCTGGCTACAGGAAGGAATCCTCCTAGCAACAAGGAATCCATTTGACTGCTAGGGCCAGGGGGTGGTCAGAGGCTGGGTCTTACTACATTTCACCTTCTCACTTCTGCCCTTTTATTTTGTTTGTTTATTTTTTTTTTTTGAAAGAACTGAATTTTCCAGAATAGAAATTATGGCTCTGAAATACAGACTTGTTTATATATCTTCCTTGGAGTAGAAGCCCTGGCTTTATATATTGAAACTTGGCTCTTTCAGGAGAGAAAATTATCTTTTGGGTTTCCAATGACTGGAAATCAAAGGGAGAACCAGTGGGGAGCCTGTGTGGTTTTGGGCAATGAGCAAAGGGTTAGGTCTTTTTTTGTTTTGTTCTGTTTTGTTTTGAGCTGGGGTCTTGCTATGTTGTCTAGACTGATCTCAAACTCATAGGCTCAAGTGATATTCCTCCTTCAGCTTCCTGAGTAGCTGGGACAACAGCTGTGTGCCACCATACCCGGCTAAGTCTTGAAGACAATAGCTTTGTAGATGTTGAGGGGCCAGGTGGAGGTGGCTGAATTCAGCCCCGTCTTGAAACCAGCTCCCTCCCCTTCCCACCCCTAAGGTGGCCATGTGCCTGGGATTTGGGTCCCTGGATGAGGGGGTGGGATCTGAAGGTGTCTCAGGAGCCTTTCTTCTGGGACTTTCTCAGCTCAGCCTTGAGTAGTGAAGGACACCTAGGAAAGCAGGCCCAGGCCCCTGGGAGGCTACAGCTGTTTGTAGTACAGCACCCGCCCCCATGCGGGTGAAACTAGCTGTGTGCTGAGGAGGAAACCAGCTGGATAGGGGAGAAAGGGACCTAAGTGCCACTGGGTCATCCCAAAATGGGTCACCTCCCCAGCCTCTGGAGCAGCTCTAAAGAAAGGTGTTGGGGGCCAGGGATTTAGCTCAGTGGTTCCAGTGCCTGCTGTGCAAGAGCAGGGTCCTGAGTTTGATCCCTGGTACCACAAAAAACAGAGAGAATGTGGAATAAAGAAAGGTGTTTCTGGTGATTCTGTGGACCATGCGAGGCATACCTGTCACAGCCCTTTGCCTATTTCCACCATCTGCCCCCTGAGTGAGTTCTGATAGCCTTTCCAGATGGAAGACAGGGACCACTGAGACTGTCAAGGTTGGGAGAGTTGCCACAAGACTCTGTGCCTGCCACTGCCTTTGCACATGTGGTGTTTTTTTTTTCCATAATTAAAACTTTATTGAAAAACTGACATCAAAATAGGAGATCATTGCTGTGCACCTTACAAAATCAAACATAATTGCATTATCTTGGTAGATTAACTATAATTACTGATCTGAGTGTGTCCCCCACAGAACCCTGACCTGGACTCAGAGGCACTGCTGGCCCTGCCCCTGCCTGAACTGGTGCAGAAGTTACGCAGTGGAGAGGTGTCCCCTGAGGCTGCCCTCTTCACCTATGTGGGAAAGGTAAGTGGGCTGGGGCTGCCCAAGTCCTTTGGTCCCTCCTTCCCTGCCTCCTCTCAACCCTTGCACAGGCTGTGGGGAAAACCTGGCCTGGGATTGGTTTGCCAAGGGCCTTGCTGGGACCATAGTGCCAGGGGCTGCCAGGCGTGGAAGGAGCCTGAGCACTCTGTGTGTGTGAGTGACACTGGGTGTGTAGTCTTAGCAAGAAACCTGGCTTTCAGCCCAGACTTTCTTCTCCTTCCTGCCTCCACTCCACTGGTCACCAAGTCTGGTCTGTTTCCATTTTCTGCCTCTCTCCAGTTCCTCCCTTGTCCCTCGCCCTGTCAGCCTCCCTGTCCCTTACCGTTGTTACGGACTTGGACTCGGAAAGAAATGCTCAAAGGCACAGAACTCAGGCAAAACAAATAAGATTTACCTGCAAGCTGGGGAGACCACCAGAAACTGGTCTGGTCAGAGTCCCCCCTCTCTTTTGTTAGTCTCTTCTCTTTATACTTTTGTTAGTCATTATCTCCTTCCTTGTGGTCTTTGATGTGTAAATACAATTCGGGTTCCTACCTAGAAGTCACAGACACAAGATAGGCATATATACATTGTAAATTCACTTAGGCATTTGCAACTTTGTTAGGTTAAAATGTTATCTATAGGGCCGGGGGATTTAGCTCAGTGGTTTCACCGCCTGCTATGCAAGCACAAGGACCCGAGTTCAATCTCCGGTACCAACCCCCCCCCCCAAACAAACAAACAAACAAACAAAAAGAATAGAGAAAATGTTATCTATAATTAAATTACTGGTTAACACCTTAAACATCAAGAGCAACGAAAAAAGCAAATCTTAAAGGAATACATTACTTATTTTGCTTTTACAATTACCTTCATATTCAATCTACTAAGCTACTTAAAACTTTCTATCAGTGTGATTTATAGGAAGCTTCAGGTCTATGTGTACTTTTGCTAGCAAGGCATGGTAATTTTTTTTTTTTAGTTTGAACCTCTGGCCCAATTCAAGTGTGGGGGGGTTGCGGTTAAGAAATGCTGCCGGCATTTCCTTATCTAGGGATGGTGCTATTGCCTGCAGTCATTTTACATATCCCTTAACACCATCATCTCCCTCAATGCCCAGCAGCCTCCTGGCCAGGTTCCCTCTCAGCTCTCCAGTCCTTTTCTTCTTTCCCTTGTCCATTGTGGGCTCTGTGGACAAAGCTTTACTTATTTTTGCTCCCCCTTCTTTGGATTGAACCCTGGGCCTTTGTGCTGATCTACATCCCCAGCTCCCTCCCTTCCTTCCTCCCTCCCTTCCTTTCTTTCTCTTTCTTTTCTTTCCTTCTTTCTTTTTTTTGAGACAGGGAATCACTAAGTTGCTAAATAGCCCAGGTTAGGCTTGAACTCCTGTTCCTCCTGCCTCATCCTCCCAAGTGCTGGGATTACAGGCATGCGTCACCATGCCTGGCTCTTGTCTTTGTATTTAGTGCTGAACACTTTGTCTTTCACTCAGGAAGTGCTCAAGAAATATGTGGGAAAAGAAAGAAAGGAAGCTCAGTGGTTCCACCACCTGCCTTGCAAGTGCAAGGACCCGAGTTTGATCCCTGGTACCAAAAAAAATTGGAAAAAAAAAAAGAAGTTCAAATAGTTACAAAACATTTGGGCTGGGGATTTAGCTCGGTGGTTCCGCCGCCTGCCTCGAAAGCCCAAGGTCCCAAGTTCAATCCCCCGTACCAAAAAATAAATTTAAAAAGAAATTAAAAAAAGAAAAGAAGGACAAATTGTGTCATGAGTGTGACTTCTGTGGGATACTGAGTGTGGCCACTAAGTAGGTAAGTGTCAGGGTGAGGGGTGTGTATGTCAGGGACTGCACCAGAGAGAGGGGAAGAGTGAGCACCGGGCAGTTGTCACTGATAAAGGACACAGGGTCCCAGTAAATGGTGAAGGGCTCTTGCTCTTCCTGGTCACCAGAAAAGTGCATTCTGGTTATACATGGGCTCCCCTCTTTCCACCTGGGGACCTAGGCACAGATGTCACACAGTCCTGATGAGCAGCACCCCCCCCCCCCCACGGAGCTCTCGGGACAGGTGTAGCTGGAGCTGGCTTTTCCTTTTCCGGCCTTTCCCTCCTGGGCCCTGGGGCTATGATTGAAGGGATAGGCAGATACCTTGATCAGTGTCATTCCTTTCTGTTTAGACCTCAGCCCTTTACCACAGAGTGACTTGATCATCATCGAACACAAGAGTTTCTGGGAAAGGGGAGGCTTGGTTGGGTAAGTGTGGGCCAGACACGGGGCAGAGGAAGGAGTGTTGGGCCCGGGAGGCTGGGTATGGGTCCAGGCTCTGTGTGGTTCCTGACTGCCTCAATGGCCAGAGAAGTGAGTTAGAAGAGTGGGGGGAGTGGCTGGTGTCACCTTCCTCCCAGCTCATCCTTTTTGGGGGGCGTCTAAGGACAGTGTCTTTTGTTTTCTTGAGTCAGGGTCTTGCTTTGTAGTTCAGGCTGGCCTTGAATTCACTATGTAGCTCATGTTGGGCTCAAATGCAAAGGGATCCTCCTGCCTCAGCCTCCCAGTGCTGGGATTACAGGCATGCACCACCATACCCAGCCCAAGGATAGTGTTTGCTCCTTTGAGTACACTGGGTTGTACCCTGGCTATGAGATCTCCCCCTCCCCTCTCTCCCTCCCCTTCTCTCTGTTTTGGGGTTGAAGGCCAAATAGCTAGGGTGAGGCTGAGGCCAAATGTGTACGAGGTGCTAGGTGCTCCTGGCTCTGGGCCGTGTTGCTGGTTACCCTTTTCCTGAGTATACTTTATTTATTTTTTATTATTCTTTTTTTGTGGCTCAATAAACTTTTATTATTTTTTGTTATTTATTTTTGTTACTCTGTTTTTTTTTTTTTTTGGTACCAGGGATCGAGCTCGGGTCCTTCCGCTTGCGCACCAGGCAGTGAAACCACTGCGCTAAATCCCCGGCCCATATTACTCTGTTTTTTATTAATAAATTTTATTTTATCCCATTCCCCCAATCAAGCCCCTCTCCTCCCTGTATACAAAAGCTTTGTTTTCATTTTTTCCTTCTATTTTCACTTTTTTCTTGTCCCTTCCATTCCTTTCTCCCTCCCTCCTCCCTTGTTCCCCTTTCCACTGGAACAATTTCTTTCCATTTCCCAACATCCATTATACATCTCAGTCCTTATTTCAGTTTCTCACACCAGAGAAACAATGTATTTAAACATGTGTGTCCGATTTATTTCACTTAAGCATATAGTCTCAAGGTCCATCCATTTAGCTATAAACGTCTGAAGTTCATCCTTCTTTATGGCAGAGTAGCACTCCATTGTATAAAAAACCCCCACATCTTCTTTATCTACTCATCAGTTGATGTGCATTTGGGCTGTTTCCAAGATTTAGCTATGTATGACAAACTGTGCTGCTGTAAACATGGGTGTGCATACATCGCTGTGGTATGATTCTTGTAATTCTTTCGGGAAGATACCAAGAAGAGGAATAGCTGGGTCAAATGGAACCTCTAGTTTTAGTTTCTTGAAAAATCTCCACACTAATTTCCACAGTGGTTGCACCAGTCTACACTACCACCAGCAGTGGAGAAGGGTGCCCCTCCAGCATTTGTTATTGGTGGATTTCTTGACAGCAGCCATTCTTTTTGGAATGAGATGGAATCTCAGCATTGTTTTAATTTACATCTCTCCAATGACCAGTGATGTTGAACATTTTTTCATATATTTATTTGCCATTTCTAGTTCTTTATCTGAGAAGTGTCTTTTTATTTCAGATGCCCATTTTTGCATTAGGTCTTTAAATTTGAAGGGTCTGATTTTTTTGAGTTCTTTATATACTCTAGATAATAGTCCTTTATCTGAATATCTGGTAAAAAAATTTTCCCACTCTGTGGGTTGTCTCTTTACTCTTTTGGTGGTTTCTCTTGCTGTCCAAAAGCTTTTTAATAAGATGAGGTCCCAGTTGTTGATTCTTTTCAGTATTTCCCATGTGGTCTGAGTTTTGTTCATGAAGTCTTTGTCTCCTCCTATGTCCTCAAGCATTTGACCTATTCTCTCTTCCAGCATATTTAGCATTTCTGTGTTTTGGGGGGTTTTTTGGTACTGGGGATCAAACTCAGGACCTTGTGCTTGCAAGGCAGGTGGCAGCACCACTGAGCTAAATCCCCCTAGAGTTTCTGTTTTAATATTTAGATCTTTGATCCATTTCGATTTTAGGTTAGTGAGTGGTGAAAGATATCGGTCTAGTTTCAGTCTTCAACATGTGGAAAGCCAGTTTTTCAATCACCATTTATTAAAGAGGCTGTCTTTCTTCCAGTGAAGGTGTTTGGCTCCTTTGTCAAAGATAAGGTGGTCGAGTATGTCTGGAGCTGTTTCTGGATTCTCTAGTATATGTCCTGGTGAAATGAGCACATTTCTGCATCCTCTAGTCTGTTCCATTGATCCTTAGGTCTGTTTTTTGGCCAGTACCATGCTGTTTTTATCACTGTAGCTTTGTAATATAATTTAAAGTCAGGGATTGTGATACCCCCTGCTTTGCCTTTGTTGTCCAGAATTGCCTTTAGTATTCTAGGTCTCTTCTAGTTCCAAATGAATTTTAGAATTTTTTTCTAATTCTGTGAGATATTCTGTTGGAATTATGATTGGGATTGCATTGAATCTGTATAACAATTTTGGCAGTATGGCTATTTTCACTATATTGATTCTCCTACCCAAGAACAAGGGATATCTTTCCATTTTCTGATACCCTCTTCAATCTCCTTTTTTTTTTTGGTACCAGGGATCAAACTCGGATCCTTGCACTTGCGAGACAGGTGGAGGAACCACTGAGATAAATCCCTGGCTCAATCTCCTTTTTGAGAATACTGTAGTTTTCAATGTAGAGGTCTTTTACTTCCTTCGTTAGATTGATTCTTAGGTATTTCTTTTCTTGGGATGCTATTGTGAAAGGGATTGTTTCTCTAATTTCTCTTTCCATGAATTTTATTTGTGTACAGGAAGGCTATTGACTTTTGAGTGTCAATATATTTGGTTATAAATCTAAAAGTCTTTTGGTGGAGTTTTTGGGGTCTTCTAAGTAGAGAATCATGTCATCCGCAAAAAATGATATTTTAACTTCTTCCTTACTTATCCTTATTCCTTCTGTTTCTTTCTGTTGTCTAACTGCTCTGTCTAGTGTTTCTAGAACTGTATTGAACAAGAGTGGTGACAGTGGACATCCTTGTCTTGTTCCTGATTTTAGAGTGAAAGCTTTCAATTTTTGTCCATTTAATATGATGTTGGCTATTGGTTTGTCATAGATGGCTTTTATCAGATTGAGATTAAGACCATCTATACCAATTTTCTATAGGGTTTTTTTTTTTTTTATCACGAATGGGTGTTGGACCTTGTCAAATGGTTTTTCTGCATCTATTGAGAGGATCATATAGTTTTTGTCTTTGGCTGTGTTAATATAGTGTATTACATTTATTGATTTGCATATGTTCAACCATCCCTTCATCCCTGGGATGAATCCAGCTTGGTCATGGTGGTGTATAACCTTGATGATTTGCTGCATTCTGTTTGCCAGTATCTTATTGAGGATTTTTGCATCTATGTTCATTAGGGAGATTGGCCTATAATTCTCCTTTTTGGTTGGATCCTTTTCTGGTTTTGGAATCAGGGTAATGCTTGCTTCCAGGAATGAATTTGGAAGTATTGCTTCCTTTTCAATTTCATTAAAGAGTTTGAGGGGTAGCAGCATTAGGTCTTCTCTAAATTTCTTGTAGAATTCAGCAGTGAATCCATCAGGGCCAGGGGTTTTCTTTGTTGGTAGTTTTTATTTTATTTTACTTTATTTATTTATTTTGGTACCAGAGATTGAACTCAGGACCTTGTGCTTGCAAGGCAGGCGGCGGCACCACTGAGCTAAATCCCAGGCCCTGTTGGTAGTTTTTATTATTTATTTATTTATTTATTTATTTGGTACTGGGGATTGAACTGAGGACCTTGCGCTTTTGGGGCAGGCGGCAGAACCACTGAGCTAAATCCCTGGCCTGGTAGTTTTAAAATTACATCTTCAATTTCATTGGCTGATATTGGTTTATTTAGAATTTTTATATTGGTTTGATTCAGCTTTGGTAATTCATATGTATCTAGGAATTTGTCTCTTCTGTATTTTCCATCTTATTAGAATACAGGTTCTCAAAGTAGGTATTGATGATCTTCTAGATCTCTGTAGGATCTGTTGTGATTTCACCCTTTTCATTCCTAATTGCATGGATTTGAATCTTTTCATTCCTTTTTTTGATAGGGTTGGCTAAGGGTTTGTCAATTTTATTTAATCTTTCAAAGAGCCAACTCTTTGATTCATTGGTTCTTTGTATTGTTCTCTTAGTCTCCATTGCATTAATTTCTGCTCTGAGTTTTATAATTTCCTCACTCATACAAGCTTTGCACTTGACTTGCTTTTCTTTTTGTAGAAGCTCAACATTAGGTTGTTTAATTGATCCCTCTCTGTTTTCCTGATATGGGAATTCACCACTATAAATTTCCCTTGTAGAACTACTTTCATTGCATCCCGTAAGTTCTGGTATATTATATTGTCATTATTGTTTAATTGTGGAAATTGTCTGATTTCTCCTTTAATTTCATCTGTGACCCATTGGTTATTCAGGAGGGTATTATTTAATTTCCATGTCTTTATGAAGTTCTTGTGGTTTCTTTTGCAGTTGATTTCCAATTTCATTGCACTATGGTCTGATAATATGCATGGGATTATTTCAATCTCTTTGCATTTACTTAAGTATGTTCTATGAGCTAGTATATGGTCTATTTTGGAGAAAGTCCCATGTGCAGCTGAGAAGAATGTATATTCTGATGTTGTGGGGTGAAACACTCTGTAGACATCTACTAATTCCATTTGTTCAAAAGTTTGGTTCAGGCTGGGGATTTAGCTCAGTGGTTCTGCCGCCTGCCTTGCAAGTACAAGGTCCTGATTTCAATACGCAGTACCAAAAAAAAAAAGTTTGGCTCAATTCTAATATTTCATTGTTGATTTTTTGTCTAGTTGATCTGTCTGTATGTGACAGTGAAGTATTGAGGTCCCGCATTAGAACTGTATTAGTGCTTATATGATTTTTCATGCCCTTTAATGTTTGTTTTATATAGTTGAGTGTGCTGCTATTTGGTGCATATATATTTAGGATTGCTATTTCTTCCTCTTGGATTGTTCCCTTTATCAGGATTTAGTGACCTTCTTTATCTCTCTTAATCAGTCTTGGCTTGATATCCATTTTGTCTGCAAATAGAATAACTACCCCTGGTTTTTCTGGTTTCCTGTCACATGGAATATTGTTTCCATCCCTTTACTTTCAGCCTGTAAATTTGTTTTTCAATTAAATGTCTTTCTTTTTTTTTTTTTTTCAATACTGGAGATCAAACTCAGGACCTTGAGCTTGTGAGGCAGATGTGGTGGCACCATTGAGCTAAATTCCTGCCCCTAAATATGTTTCTTGTATGCAGCATATTGTTGGATCTTGCTTCTTGATCCATTCTGCCAGTCTATTTCTTTTGATTGGTGAATTAAGACCATTAACATTGATGGTTATAACTGATCTGTATTGTCTTATCTCTGTCATGTTATTTTCCTGCTGTTGGCTTCCTTCTTTCCCTTTCTGTTTAATTTCTTGCCTTGCCTGGTGGATTCATTCTGTTGGGGTTCATGGAGTTATAATCCTTATTGTCTCTTTCTAGAATATCCTTCAGAACAGTTTGGAGTGCTGGTTTGGTGGTCATGAATTTCTTTAGGTGTTCTTTGTCATGGAAGTATCTTATTTCTCCATCAGTTTTGAAGGATAGTTTTGCAGGGTACATCAGTCTGCAAAGGAGGTTGTTTTCCTTTAGGGCTTGAAATACTTCACTCCCTCAGTATACTTTATTGTTGTTGGTTTTTTTTTTTGTAACGGGGATCGAACTCAGGACCTTATGCTTGTGGTGCAGGTGGTAGCACCACTGGGCTAAATCCCTGGCATCCTCAGTATAGTTTAAAAAGCTAACTTTACACATTTTACTACAGTAAGTCTCTGACTTACAAATGAGTTCCATTCCAGGAGGATATTTGTAAGTTGGATTCATTTGTAAGTCAAACAAAGTGAATCATACAATTTTAACATAAATATGCAATGTATATTGCGTTGCACTTCCTAGCAGTCCTCTCTACATCACCACTGCTTTTCCTCTTGCTTCCAGACATCCTGAGCTGATTGATCACTGTACTACTGTACACTGTCTCACTGTATAGTAAGTATATAGCAGCACAACTGTGACAGTATCTGGCAGGCACATGAGCTACTTCTGCAATTTGTTAGCATCTATGAATGTTTGTAATGCTAGGTCTGTTCATATATGTGAAAGTTTGAAACCTGAAAGTTTGTGAGTCGGGGACTTTCTGTACAATAAAAAAAAGTCCAGCTTCACTCTGTCTTGTGTCCATTTCTTCCTTACCAGGCCTGGGAAGTGAACAAAGGGACCAATTGTGTAACCTCCTACCTGGCTGACTGTGAGACTCAGCTATGCCAGGCCCCACGGCAAGGCCTGCTCTATGGTGTCCCTGTGAGTCTCAAAGAGTGCTTCAGCTACAAGGTACACCCTTCCCTGGTGTCAGGTTCCTTTCCCCTCCATCCCTGCAGCCAGCTGTGTCCTGGGTCACTTAGGTCCTGCAGAGGAAGTGTGATGTCTGGAAGTTTGAGAAAGGACCATGGGTGTGCCTGGCCTTGGCCAGTGTGACAGTGGTGGAAGTGGACCTCTCCTGACTCATCTGCTGAGTTTTCCCATTGCTCATCTCCCTCTTAGGGCCAGAACTCGACACTGGGCTTGAGCCTGAATGTGGGGGCGACAGCTGAGTGTGACAGCGTGGTAGTGCAGGTGCTGAAGTTGCAGGGTGCTGTGCCCTTCGTCCACACCAATGTCCCCCAGTCTATGTTCAGGTTGGGCCTCAGCAGGGTGGGGTGGAGTGGTTGGGATAGAGGTGCCAGAATGGCCCTGGCTGACCTGCTCCTGCTTTCTCCAGCTATGACTGCAGTAACCCCCTCTTTGGCCAGACCTTGAACCCACGGGAGTCCTCTAAGAGCCCAGGTGGCTCCTCAGGGGGTGAGGGTGCCCTCATTGGATCTGGAGGCTCCCCCCTGGGCTTGGGCACGGACATTGGAGGCAGCATCCGTTTCCCTTCTGCCTTCTGTGGCATCTGTGGACTCAAGCCTACTGGGCACCGCCTCAGGTACAGGAGCTTCTGGGCCCCTTGTTGTGTGATCTTGGCTGAGCTTCCAACCTTTCTGGGCTCTAGGCAGGAATTCACTCACCAGAGTTTCACTGGGTAGAAGTGTTACCACCAGCAGGGCTCCCAGTTTCCAGTGGTGGGACTCCAGAGCTTCTGCAGGGGGTTTGGGGTGGGCAGAGGGTAGCCATTTCCTGTTTCCAACACCTTGTATTTCTTATCCAGCAAGAATGGCGTGAAGGGCTGTGTCTATGGACAGGTGGCAGGTGAGGTCTGTGGTTCTCTCAGTGCCCTGGATGAGGGTGGGGGTCAGCCTGATCTGCCTCTGCTTCTCTGGGGGACAGTGTCAGGCCACTAGGCCACTCCAGGTATGAGTTCCAACCTCCTTGTCTTGTTCACACTCCTGGCTCATGGCTCAGCCCTTACTCCAACCCAGCCCCAGAGCCCACTGGGGTCATGTGACCCATATTCCCTCCCCTCCCTGCCCCACAGTGCAGCTCTCCGTGGGCCCCATTGCTCGGGATGTGGAGAGCCTGGCACTGTGTCTGCGAGCTCTTCTGTGTGAGGACATGTTTCGCCTGGACCCTACCGTGCCACCCCTGCCCTTCAGGGAGGAGGTGAGTGGGGTAGGGGTGGGCAAGGTGGTGAACTGAACCCAGGAGCTTTGGGCAGGCCTCAGAGTCTCCCACCCCCTCAAAGCTGCCCTCAAGATCTGAGGCCAAGGCTCAGCTGTGGCTGCTGCTGCTTCTTCTCAGATGGCCATTAGGTGGCACCCTTGTACGAATTTGGAAATCCTCAGGCCTTCCAGCTGGAGAGCTCTTGTACCTGATCTGTATTTGACCCTTAGTAAATTGTAGTTTTGCATATGGTCTGTATCCCCACTGGTGGGATGCTTTGCATGTACTGAACCGTAGGGGTCTGTGTTGGCTCCTCAAAATATCACCAGGACAGTCCATTGATCAGAGCTGAGCTCACTACTTTCTGAAGTGGCCTCTACCTTCCCAAAGCCTTAGCAGCGTCTCAGAGGGCAGGGATGGTGTGGAGTGTATCCTTCAACATGGAGACTGGATGAGACTGGATAAGGTCATGATCTAATAGTTAAGGACTGGGGACACAGCCTGCTGAGGATCTTGAGGTGTCAGGGTCAGAGTCCTGGGATATAAATGTCATTTGAAGCTTCCTATTGAAGAGTTGATGAAGACTGTAGAAGAATACATATGGATATTTGCACTTATGTACAAAGGGTTTGGGAGTAGTCAGTTAGATGGATGCAGACTTCATGGCAGTGTGTACTTTCACACCAGTCTGATGTTCGTTTCTCTTGTGTGGGCCCCTTGTCCTCACTCTAGCCAGGCTGAGGGGCTGTGGGCAGGACAGTGGGCCTTGGTGTTTCCTGGGGGTGGGCCAGGTGGGCAGATCTGGGCTGGGGAGGCTCTCACTCCTCAGCAGACAGGTTCTGACCATTGCAGCTTGAACCTTTCTTGAGAGGGAGGAGAGGAGAGGGGACCCTGTCTGGAGGTCTGGGAACCAGGGGAGGTGATAGAGTCTTGGCCCAGGAGTCAGGATGCCTGGGTCCAGGCCCGTCCTTGGTACTGTCTACTGGGTAACCTTGGGCAAGTCCCAGCCCCACTGTCTAGACCTTAAGCCTCAGTTTCCTCAAATGACCAGTGGGAATCTTTATCGCTGCTCTGCATCTCTGAGATACTACAAATGTGTTTTATGACAGAGTAAATGTGGAAGGGGCTGGCTTGGCAGATGATCTCTTTCGAGGAAAAATGGTACCAGAAAGATCCAGGCTGCAGCTGAGTAGCTTCTGTAATCTTTAGGAGCTCTGCCTAGGCCTTCTTCTCCTGAACTTCTTCTCCTTGCCCTGACCCTGCCTCCTGTGTTTGTCCCCAGGTCTACAAAAGCACTCGGCCCCTGCGTGTAGGATACTACGAAACTGACAACTATACCAGGCCCAGCCCAGCCATGAAGCGGGCCCTGCTGGAGACCAAGCAGAGCCTTGAAGCTGCTGGCCACACGGTATGGCTGCAGTATCCCACAGTCCTGGCATCTCCTTCCCTCCAGGGAAGTCTTCCTGGTACCTGTGGCCTTCCCTCCAGTCTCTGTGGTCTGATTGTTTTATCACTGGTGATGAGAACCGTGGCCCTGTGGGACCAGTATACAGAGGGCTGACCGGGAGGATGGGGCTATGGGGATGGAAAACCCAGCACAGCTGAGTGCTGCATTTTGGGGGGACCTCATCAACCATGAACAACAATGACCTGCTGTTCAGAGGTTCCTGGGGACCTGAGATAGTGGGCCAGTGGTTTAGTCTGCTCATCTGAGACAACCTTATATGTGGCTCCAGACTTTTCTCACAAGGGCCATTTTAAGGGGTGTTTTCATGGTTGGAAAGGCTGCCTCTGTGGTTTTTGTGAGGACAACCACGTGGGCAAGGTGGTCCTGCTCCTCAGGCTGCTAGGCGGTATATGGGCCATGGGAACAAGGCATGTTAAGGCTAGGACCTTGTACACCTCCATCCCTGCAGCTTGTTCCCTTCTTGCCAAGCAACATACCCTATGCTCTGGAGACCCTGTGTGCAGGCGGGCTGTTCAGTGATGGTGGCCACAGCTTCCTCCAGAACTTGTGAGTGCTCTTGAGCTTTGGGCTCTGTGGTGGGATGAGGAAAATGAATAGACCCAGTGAGAGCAGTTGGGCCTTGTGACACCCCCCCCCCCCCACCAGGACAGGCTCGACCACGTTCAAAGAAGGATTGTGATTTCTGGTCAGGGACCTTGCTGTTCCTCCTATTGTGCAGGTTGAGCCTGGAGATATCTTGCCAGGGAGAGGTGCCAGCCCAAGGGAGGCTGACTATGCATCTGTATCCCGTTCTCAGCTGAGTTTGTTGTGGGATAGGAGGAGGGTAGGGGAGTTCCCTGCTGTCTAGGAAAGGTCAGAAGCAAGGGCAGGATCAGGACAGGTGGATTGCAGTATGGACCTCAGGCTGTAACTCCAGGCTCTGTCTTGTCTGAGCCAAGTCTTTCTTTTTTAGTAGGACCTCAGTTTTTATTTCTGTAAAACATGTGAGTTGTACCAGATTCACTTTAAGGGATTTGGCTGAGCTACTGTTTAGAGAAGATGGTTCTCCTTGGCTGTTTTCAGTCATTACAGGGCAGAGGATGGACCTGTGAAGGTGAGGGTTGGCTGGAGCGGTGCCCCCCAGGCTGTAGATCTCATTATGGGGACACTTGGACCTTGCAGTCTTTCTCAGTCAAGGACTCAGCTTGTTACTCCCTCTCCCCGCAGCTGAGCATGGTCCAGGCTTCAGTAAAAGGTATTACCTCTCACTCTGGCCCTGGGGTGGAGCCCCAGGATCAGCCACCTGAGACCTTTCTCTGAGATCTTGAGCCAGGTCAGAGAATTCCTGGAATGCCCCACGTGAAGCTGCAGGGTGACAGCAGTCTTGAGAAGCACAGGCCCTCAGTCAGGGCAGGGAGATGTTGCCCTCAGTCCCTATAGCTCTGAGCTCGATCTGCTGGAGATGGGGACCCTGAGTCCTGCCTTGGGGACTCCAATGGGTGTGGAGTGAAGCCCAGGTGTCCTGAAGAATTGGCAGAAACAAAGCATGTGTTGGAGGCCTGCAGTTACTGGAATCTGGTGAGGAGGGAGGTGGACAGGACCACTGATAGAAAACAGGGGTTGCAACTGGAGGAGAGTGAGCCAGGAGGGAACCAGGATGGGAGCTCCTAGACTGAGCCTTTTGTTTCCCAGCAAAGGTGATTTCGTGGACCCCTGCCTGGGAGACCTGATCTTAATTTTGAAGCTGCCCCAGTGGCTTAAAGGACTGCTAGCCTTCCTGTTGAAGCCTGTGGTAAGAACACAAGGAGTCCAAGGGGCTAGGGGAGCTTCTGGGACCCCCTATCCTGTGTTACCCCATTGCCTCTGGTTCTTGCCTGCTTCCCCTTCGCCTCTCCGTTTGGACAGTCCTAGGCTCCTCTTGTCTCCCTCCATCTCCGCAGCTGTTCTCCTCCCCAACCCCTGCATCGTCAGCAACCTGCTTTCCCAAAGGGGTGGCATGGGTGGGCAGCTCATGGCCCCAAGCTAAGTCACTGACCTTGTGTCTGTTCTGGCGCAGTTCCCACGGGTGGCAGCCTTTCTCAGCAGCATGAGGCCTCGGTGAGGATTCTTCCTGTGCCCAGATGCCCGCCCTCTCTGCTCTACCTGTTCTGAGGCCAGATGGTTTCTGATAGGAGAAGCCCCTGTGGGAGGTAGCTTCCGAGGTGGAAGTGGCCCAGATGGGGGGACCCTCAGGTGGGACCTTGAAGCTGTCAGTGGGGTCCAGGTCTGGCTGTAGAGCAAGGGAACAAATGAGAGAGGTGGAGGGGAGAAAGTTGGCCTGGCTGGGCATGGGAGAAAACACTAGGAAGGAGTTTTCCCAGGCTCAGTGGCACCTGGAGATTCTGGGCCCTGGGTGACAGATGAAATGCTTTTAGAGTTCTGAACTGAACTGAGCTGCACTGGTCTTACCTGTCTTTAGTAGGTCAGGCTGGAAAGGCACCTCATTTCCACCCAGAAAATCCTGTGTACTTGCTCCCCTTTTCACCTCCAGGCATTTGACAGCCCTGGCCTCTTCTTGGTCCTGAGGGCAGTGAGGAATCAGGCCTGGTTTGGTGTGGGCTCTGCTATGGAGTCAGTCACTAAGTGACCCAGCTTAGGTTCCTCTGAAGCCTGGTTTGTCTCATCTGGTCTTTGAACTTTTCATCTTGCTTTGAGCTTCTGCCCTCTCAGAGATCCCTAGAGTTGAGGGCTATGGAGGAGTGCGATGTAGAAGCAGTGAGAGAAGGGTGTCTGGTATTTCTGACCTCCATGGCTATGGCCATGATGGCTGGTGACATTACTCTTTGTCCACAGGTCGGCTAGAGAACTCTGGGAACTGCAGCACAAGATTGAGGTGAGTGAGGCCTGAGCCCCTGCACTTGAGTAGGGCTGTTAAGGGGAGGGGAGCTGTCCAGGGCACCTGCCAACAGAGTCTTCTGGTCAGTCCTGCCGCTGATCTGCTGGTGGGGCCTGTCATTCCCCCTTGCCCTTTCCTGGACTACGGATTGCACCCTGCTGTCAGATGCTCATTTCCGTAGTGCTCATCCCTGGGGGCTGGGTTAGTATGGGGCTCCTCTCCTGGGTACTTCTTTGCCCCTTTGGGGCTGCCTGTGGCTATGCAGACTATAGATCCACCTCTGCAGGGAGACAGGTGCCTACGGTTTGGGTGGGAGGTAGAACAGTGATACCTCTGAGAAGCGATGTTTCCTGCCTGCCCAGAGGCCCTCCGTCTTATCATAGTTCAGCTCAGCTCAGATCCAGCAGCAGGTGCTGGGGCCAAACCCAGCCCAGCCACTGTCCCTGCAGTGGAGAGTCCTGGATGGGCTGGGTCTGAGTGCCTCCTCTGTTTGCTGATGTCCCCTCAGGAGTACCAAAACTCTGTGATTGCCGAGTGGAGAGCACTGAACCTGGATGTGCTGTTGACCCCTATTCTGGGCCCTGCTCTCGACCTGAATGCCGCAGGCAGGGCCACAGGTGAGGCCTGCTTTTCATCCTATTCCCCTCACACCTCTGCCTGACCCTGCTCTCAGTGAGCTCAGCAGCCCCATGTAGCTGCTGGGAAGTAGAGGAGGGTGGGTCCCCTGCCCTTAGGGGCTCATAGTCTGGCTGGCTGGAGAGAGGGGAGTCACGTGGAATACCCTAGGAGGCAGTGAGATCCCTGTCCAGTGTGTACTATTTAAGTTGGAGATCTCAAGTTACAAAGTCTGTAGTTTGGGGAGGTGGTATTTAAACCTAGGTGGTATTTATATGAGCCAAGAAAATAGGAACAATATTCTAGAAACTACGTGGGCAAAGGCCCAGGGCAAGCATCAGGAGATCTTGCTGGGTTCCTGGGATTTGTCACTCAAACTTCAGCCTGGGAGAGGGTCTTTCCCTGCTGGGGAAGCAGGGTGGCATTTCACAGGGCCGGTGACTGAGGCCCAGCATGGACACTTGAGCACTGTGGGCCCCAAGGCCTGCTGCAGCCTTTGTGGTGTGTTCTAGGGGCCATCAGCTACACTGTTCTTTATAACTGCCTGAATTTCCCTGCGGGAGTGGTGCCCGTCACCACAGTGACCACTGAGGACGAGGCCCAGATGGAACATTACCAGGGCTACTTTGGAGATATCTGGGACAAGGTGCTGCAGAAGGTAAGGCCTGCCCATCCCCCAGCTCACCTCCTGCCCGCCCATCCCCCAGCTAGTGTCCTCAGCACTTGGTGTCCTCACCCACCCTTCTTAAATGAATACTGCACCTTGCTACTCTCTTCTGGTCAGGCACTCCCTTCCTGGACCCTGGGTAGGATTCTGCCTTGTGCCGCCCATTATAGGGAACAGGAAAGGGAAGTTACTGAAGACCTCTGCCAGGGGTCTCAGCCTCCTATGAGGCACTACAACACAAACTGATAAGAGTAAAGAAAGAAACAAGAGAGAACTCTGTCTTGGGGCTGATCTATGCTGGTCTGGGCAGCAAAGACAATGAGTGCTAAGCGCGCCCAGTATTTATTGATAACAAATGTAGGAAGGTGAGCAGGGTATGCTTTGAAGACATCTAGTGACATAAGACATAGTGTGAAGCATCCAGAAGCATCTGGCGATGGCCGATATGCAGGCAGGAATATTTGATATGCAGCCAGGATTAGCTGATATACAAACAGGGATGTAAAGGGGAAGGGCACTGCTCATCTTGCTTGGAGAGATCAAAGGGTGCTGAGACTGGGTTGCAGTTAACCAGGGCCTGCTAGTATTGGGCCGAGATGTCTGCTACACCCCATCCTGATGTCCATGTCTCCCACAGGCCCTGAAGAACAGTGTGGGGCTGCCTGTGGCCGTGCAGTGTGTGGCTCTGCCCTGGCAGGAAGAGCTGTGTCTGCGGTTCATGCGGGAGGTGGAGCGACTGATGACCCCTGAAAAGCAGCCATCCTGAGGGCCGCCTGCCTGCCTGGCTCCAAAGGACCGGACACCTGCATGCCCTGTAGCCCAGCCTAATGGGGCACATGGCCACCCTGTGAGGAAACACTCAGCCTGGGTCAGAGGCATCTATGACCCCTTCCTGAGCCCCTGCCAAAGCACAGACTCCCACTCCCCCCAAGTCTGGATCTTGCTCCCCTCTCTGGTCCCTTTTCTACCCTGATCCCCCACCCTACATGGCAGCAGGTATGACAGGGGCCAAGACCACCAAAGTCAAGAAACATTTCCTTGTCTGTGGGGTGCTGGGGCTGGAGCCTATTGACAGCAGGGTTGGCTTAATCTTCCAGAGCCAGGTGGCAACCATGTCACCATTCTGCTCCAAAACCTCCCCTGGTGTCCATCACCCACAGAAGGGACAAAAGCTTGTGTCCCAGCACTTCACTTCAGCACCTCCCCTCCTCTTGCTTGGACTCAGGCCAGCTTTGCTGGATACTGTTGTGGTTTTCCTTCCTTTGCTTCTCTCTGCTGATATGCCCTTTCTGCTCCTCCACCACTCAATCCTTGGAGGCCCAACTCCTCTTTCTCCAAGAGGCTTTCTGTGCTCCTGAGCCCTGAAAGAGTGTGAGCTCTTTCCTCCCAGTCTCCCCTGTATGAGGCATCTGGATGGGTCTGCTTTCCTGGCCATCTCCTTGATGGTGGGGACTGCATTGCTATGTCTTTATGTACTGTGGCCAGCACAGGGCAACAGGGAAGCACCTGAGTTGGGCTGCAGGGAATCGAGTGGACACAGTGGGCCCTGAGCTGGTGCTGTTGGGTAAAGGAGCCCACAGGCCCAGGGGTGGTGGTCAGCAAGTGACAAGGCAGGTAGCAAGGGCTCACTCACAGGGCCAGCCAAAGCCTGGACTTCTCTGGGAAGGCTTGCTAGAGGAGGACTGCTCTTGAGTCCAGAAAGTTCTCACATGCTGATATATAGGGGATGAGGTCATCCTGGGGAGGAGGCACTGTATGTCCAGGACCAGGGTGAGCTTGATATTACAGGAATGTTGAATGGGCACAGGGGAAGCAGGGATGTAGGTAAGCCCAGATAAGGTGAACTTGGGTGGCTAGGTCAACAACTTGAATTCTATCTCAAGGGCGATGGAGGCTTGTGAAGGGCCATATAGGCACAGTGAGGAGAGTAGACAGAGGGGCAAAGCCTGGAAAAGAATAAGAATGCTGCTCCTGATCCCTAATTTGGGGAAAGGGCAGAAGGGGTAGAGAGGCTGTCTGGGGATGGGTAGTTGGGATGGAGGTAAGCTGTCTTACCTCAGTCTCAGTCCTGCCCTGCCTGCCACGTCTTACTGGACTGAGTTGCCTGGCAGGGAAAGGGTAGTTAGTTTGTGATGGGATGTTGGGCTTTCTTGACCATCCTCACAGAGTTTCCCCATCTGCCCTGGCCCTAGCCTAACTCTCCTGCTGTCTAGATATTTCAGAGCCCAATCCCTGAGGGTGGGTTGGGTACCGGCTCACATCTGGCCTGTTTTACATTTTTTCCACCAAATTGCCTTTTCTAGGCTTCCTTCTCCACCATTATTCCCCTGTTCCTCTGGAAATGCTTTTCCTTCCGGGTTACATGTCTAGCGGTATCCATGCCCCTACCAAACTGCCTCTGTCTAGGAGGGCCCCCACCTTGAGGGGTGCTGACTCAAGGGCCCAGCCCGAACTGGGACACCTAGACCGAGATAAGTAAGCTGTTGCCGCACTTCTTCCTGGTTCTTCCTAACTTGAGGACTTCCTCATAACAGCTGCTGTAATTTTCCCTCATTGTCCGATAAAACCATCCACCAACTGCCCCAGCTTTCTCTTTCTCCTGTCCATTTCCCTTCTAGTCACCAATATCCTCTTCCTTTCAGACCCAAAGCTGAAGGGTGGAGATGCCACTACCGCATGTTTTCATTGTTTCATTGATTTCAGCCCTCAGAGCCTCAGCCTGGCCACGTCTAGCCCTGTGCCAACTGTGGCTGGAGACTGACATGAACCCAGCCTGGCTGCCATCCTTGGGCGGACCCTGACAAGCACGCCTGCTCCTCACTGATCAGGGATGGCCAAGGGAGGGAGGGGCCCCTTGCTGTTGAGGGAAGGGGGAAGGGGTCGCAGAGGCACGTAGGTGTCCCCTGCATTACATCTCCACCATCATGCTGTTGTCCAAGCCACCTGCCTTTCATCCAGATACTGCAATAACGTCCTAACCCTCTGGCTCCCTGCTTCCATCTTCAGGTGGCGCCCAGTCCCTTCTCCACAGCATAGCCAGAGTGATCCTGCAGAAGTAAATCAGGTTGAGTTGCTCCTTGCTTAAGACCTTCCAATGGCTTCCCATCCCTAGAATAAAATCCAGTCTCCTTGTGGGGCCATGGCTCCTGTCCACCTCTTCAGTCTCATCTTGGGGGTCTCTCCCTGTCATTCCCTGTGCTCCAGCCACACAAGCACCTTTGGTTTCTTGATCATCTTGAGCTGGTTCCTGCTTCAGAGTTTCTGGGGCAGTTGTTCTCTGGTCTATTCCTCTGGTTGTTCTGCGTTAGTTGTTCCTCGGTCTCTGTCACCTTCCCTTACACCAGCTGTCACTTTCTAACATGTTACCCTGTATTTTTTTAGAAAGCATTATCTCTATCTAAAATCACTTATGTGTTTTTGTCTCCTCCACTAAAGCAACCATACTTTTTCTTGTTTCTGATTATATTCTTGGCATGAGTGATGTGCAGAAGGTACTTAGTTCTGTGAAATTAAGCGAACATCTACTAGGGAGCCAGGCACAGAGTTGGGTGCTGGGACTGCAATGATGGACGACACGACTTGTTTCCTGTCCTCTTGGAACTTACATTCTGGAGGATATTTCTAGAGTGAAGGTGGGGTGGGGGTGGGGGTTAACAAAGACTTCTGAATATTTAATTCATGGAGAGATAAGGTGACTTTTGATTAGCACAGACGGAGGAAAGGGATCTGAATCACATTACTGAGTACCTGCAGTGAGCCACCTACCTTCTGGGCATTTGGAGTCATCATGCCATTTAATCATCCTATTAATCCTTTAGTAGTGTTTTTGGCCCCATTTTACAGAAAGATTATATACCTTGGCTGCAATCCCATAGCTAGAAGTGGGGGATTGGGCTGGGTATTTAGCTCAGAGGTTCCAGCACCTGCCTTGCAAGCACAAGGACCTGAGTTCAATCCCCGGTACCAAAAAAAAAGTAGAAATGGGGGATTGGAATTGAAACCTGGGTCAACCTTTGTCAGTGCCTTGTGACATGTCAGGGCCCCTTCTGATGTCCCATGATGCTGAAGCACAGAGAGCACACATTGCCAGAGGAGAGCCAACGTCAACTCTTTCCTTCCTGATCACCTATCTTCTGGCCTTAAGACCTTCGAGGTCACAAGGCTGCCACCTGTTCCCATGGCCTTTCCCCTCCTTACTATGTCCACTGTCACAGCTCCTTGCCTGGCCTCCCCTGCTTCTGCTATGATTGTCACTAAGCACCCCTCATATGGCAGTCAGGTGGCCTTTCAAACTGCAAATATGAATACACTTAATGCCTTTAGTATCATTTGTGTCAAGTGCGACTCCTTGCTCCAACCTCCAAGGCTATGCTTGGCCTTCGAGTGGTACTGAGCTCCCACCTCCCCGCTCTTTGCCCTGTGCTTGCTGTACTGGACACTCTTCCTCTGCTCTCCACCTTGTGACTGCCTGCTCATCCCGGGCCATAGTGATGTCTCTCACTCACAACTCTGCCAGGCACTGTTGAAGTGCTGCCTTGTGCTTCTCCCCATGCCTGAGGCAGAGGTGGTATTGTGATCATAAGATCCAACATCTGTTAGATTGTGGTGTTGCTAACCCCACTGTGTCATTTAAAAATTGGGCATTACTATTTCCATTTTATAGATGAGGAACTGAAGTTCAGAGAGTTGATTTGTCCAGGGCCAATCAGTAACGAGTACAGAGAAGATCTGAAACCTGCATGCCCCACTGGAATCTGTGCAGACTTTCCTCATTTGTACAAGAACAGGCATTGAACATGCTGTAGGTACAGCCCCTATGCTGGGCACACACGATGAAGACAGAGGCAACACCCACCTGCTCCTCTGCAGATAGCACACACTTTAGACACAGATGCATAGTCAATTCATGAGTTTCCCAACAAGATCTGTCTTCACTCCATGTTTCTCTAGCTGGCTGGACCTTCCCAGGCCTCCCACATATAAGTTAGGAGTGGTGTTCCCGGCCACCGTAGGTGGGTGATGCCACTTGGGGTAAGGACTGCAGTTGGCTTTGTAAGCCCAACACCTCATATGGTGCCTGGTACTCAGTCGCTACACAGTGAAGCCTTGCTGAGTCAGGAGGAATGGGGGACTTGCTATCAGTGAGCCCAACTTGGGCCCTTCACGTTACTTCCTTATTTCATCCTCATAGGGAATTTCCCAGTCAGTCCCTGACCCTCGCCCCTTTTTGCATTTATCTACTACCATGTTTTTGATTAGTGCTTATAAGGACAAATAATTATCAATGTTTATTCAGTCTAGAGCTTTCTCCTGGTCTGTAGATCTTCATCCATCCACTTTCTTCATCCTCCTAACCCCTCTTCCCTTCCCTTACCCATCCAATACCTATACTGAATTCCTCCCAACAGTATACACAGGGTGACCAATCAGAAATAGTCCCTGCTTGGCTGGGTGTGGTGGTGCACACCTGTTATCCCAGAATTCAGGAAGGCTGAGGCAGAAGGATTTCTTCAAGTTCAAGACCAGCCTGAGCTACATAGCAAGACCTTGCCTCCAATAAAAAAGGAGCTGTCATTCTACCAGCAAATGCATAATTACACAAATACATATGTTAGGATTGCAATAAAGCAGAAGTCCTGAGTATTATGGGAATAAAGCAAGTGAGACCTGATCTGGCCTAGAATGCATGTGTGAAGGAGTGCGAAGGGATTGCTTCCTGGAGGAGGTAACATCTGAGAACTGCATTATCACGTGAGCCAAAGACTAGTGCATTTCAAGAAGGGTCAGGCTGACAGCTTCAAACACTACTGATGTAGCAGATCTGGGCAGGAGCCAGACAAGATTAGGTAGGGGAGGGAGTGGAGGGCAAGGAGTAAAATCTGGAATTGTGGAGAACTTGAGAACATGTCCTGGATGGGATAGTAGCTATGGGGGGTGTAGATCTGAGAATCCTTTATTTTCCCATGTGATAGATCTGACAGCGTGTCTGATGCTGCTAGGAAAGAGCTAGCAGGGAGATAGAGAGGGGGCACAGGTAAAGGTAGGAGTGAAGGGCTCTATCACCAGCATTTCTTCCTGAAAAACTATCACTGAGCACCTGCCATGTGCCAAGCACTTTGCAAAAGGCTCACAAGATCCTTATTTTTATGAAACTTATTTTTTAAGGTGGGAAACAGGAAATAAATACATAATTTCCCCTGTGATAAGTGTGGTGAAGATTTCCAGTGGTATGTAATATGATAATGGAGCAGCAACCCAAGCAGAGGTGAGATATCAGGCGTGGGGTGTAGTGGGGTGTGGTGCAGGTGCCACATGGCCTGGGAAGCTGAGGATATCCGAACAGCCAGTATTCAGTGTGTTCCCTTCCCACCTACCCCACTAGAAGGGAAATCCACCAATAGGGGAGGGAGGCTGGAGCCCCAGGATAAGAACTGCCTGCCTCGGTCCATGCTCTCCCCTGGGTGGATGCAAGATGGTCCCTGAGATCCCTGCCTGCTCCCTCAGACATCTCTTGCTTTTTTCCCAAATGCTTGCCTGGAATGTCATCCACTCTGGAGAAACAAGGGCCCCTCCCTGTGTCTGCTTATGTGGAGCACAGAGGGTTGGTGATTATCATTGTGAGCAACAGGAAACCATAGAACAACCCCATCTGGAATTCTTGAAGGTCAAACTAGGGTATTGGAGGGGCATTATGTGAGGAAGGTGATGTCAGAGCCTTGCCACCTGCTCCGTGGCAAGGCTTGGGACCCTCTTTAGTCTTTTTTTGGTATCAGGAGTTGAACTTGGGACCTTGCGCTTTCGAGGGGTGGCAGAACCACTGAGCTAAATCCCCAGCCCTCTTCAGTCTTTTCTCTGCCAAAGCTTCTTCCTCTGTGTGACCTGAGGGATGGGGGTCTTTGTCCCCAGCAAGTCCAGGTAGGGGTCAGAACTGGCTGGGGAGAGGCAGGACTGTGGCACACCCAGAGCTGGGGCTACTGTGCCCACAGCCCCAGGTACGATGGGGGCTCTGGCAGTGTCACTGACAAACAGTAAGAGGGCTCTTGAGGAAGCAGCAGACTTATCCACACAGGTCCATGAGGCTGGGGCTGGCGTGGCTGGGGAATTCTATGGACCCTGCTGGTTGATGTGCTGTTGTTCTGGCAGCATGGCCCAGCAAGGACCAAGGTCCCCAGGGTGCAGGAGCTCGGGGAGGCAGAGCTGCAGCAGATGGAGGCCCTCGCCAGCATCTCTGGAAGCAGATGAGCAGAAAGGATTCCCTGAGGTTTCTAGCCCCAGCGACCCTTGGCCCTCAGTCCCAGTAGAGGGACACACCCTTCCCACAGCCCCATTCTCCTCAGAAAATGGAAAGCCCAGCTGGGCAGTCTTCACCCTAGGTCTCCCCACCAGCTCATTGTGTCCTTGTCAGTTTCTCCTGCATCAACGTTCATGGAGCCTGTGGAGGTTAGGGACCATGTATTTTTGCTGTTGTCTCAGTGCTGGGCACATGGCTTAGGAATATACTTACTTGGAGTGGTAGTTGAAATAAACAGATGGAAGCTATTGGAGGTCTCTGAACACCCCCAACCCCCACTGAGACAGGAACCCTTGTCCACCCCCACCCCCATCCCATGCAGTTCTGAAAACATTTGCTGAGCAACTGTAAGTGCAATGTGTAGGGAGCTGGACACAAGGCTCCTGGGGAGTTATAGGTCTTAAAAGGTGGCTTTGACTGATCAGAAGGGGCTATTTCAAGATCTTTGACAGCCACTGTGGCTGGCTGGAATGGAATTAGCAGGTGAAGTGGCTGAGCTATGGGTGTATCAGCAAAGCCTTCCTGGGGTGGCAGAAAGAAGGGTGGGAAGGCAGAGCATGGAGACAGATAGAGATTGAGGCTGAATTTGGCATTGCCTGGAGGATGTGACATGCCCTGTCTGGACTCTGGGCTCCTCAGCTGCTGGAGGAGGGAGGGCTCAGTGTGTCTTGGGGTTCCCATCTTTGGTTGATGGTGGCAGGCTCTCTCTGGGAGCACTGGGGGTGGGGGTTAAGGACAGTGCCTGAGGTGCAGTCTCCCCATGCTCTGGAGTTCCAGAGTGTCCTCTGCTGTCCCCTGGATGGTGATTGATGGCCCCAGTGGGCAGCTTCTGTGCCTGAGCTGCTGCAGTTGCCGAGAATGTGTATTAATATTAATTGGGGCTAATTAGTTGGATAAATCAATCTGCCCCCAGAGAGCAGCTGCCCCCCTGGTTGATGATGAGGAAGTCTAGGCTAATGGGGTTGTTGAGGCAAATCAGCTTGATGGAGAGCGTTCCTGTGGGTGGTGGCCCCATCTGTGGGCATTGGTAGGCTTAGGCTCCTTTAATGTGGCCCAGGGCCTGCTTGCTCAGCCTCCTGCTGGAGTTTCATCTGCTGTGTTTGGGTGTGTGTGGAGGTGTGCTGCTGGTGTCTGATTGTGTGCCTGTGATATGTGTGTGTGCCTGGCTGGGTATGCATGCCAGCTGGATTGTGTACATCTTGATATGTGTGGCTGGTGTGGGTCTGAGTGTTCGAGTCAATATGTACCTGTGTGGCTGTGTGTCTGATACCTGAGGACAGCTGGTTGTACGTGTGTCTAGGCATCTTGGTGTACATGTAGATGTCTGGGGTATGCGGCTACTGGGCTGGGTGCCTGGTGGGAGTGGGAGTGTCTGGTTGGCTGGAAGAGTGGAGGGGTTTGGGGGTGAGGTCACCCACGGTGTCTCCAGCTTCATGGCTGCAGGCTTCTTGGTTCTCCCCAACATTTCTCCCCAGCAAAGCTACACAAATCTGCCCTGGACAACTTTCCCAGTCTGGTCACCCTGCACTAGAGATACCTCAAGACCTCAAGTGTCCAGCTTGTCCCAGTGGAGGTAGAAGGCTGAGAAATAGGTCAAACCCTCATGGGGTCCTGTGAAACAAATTCAATTTGGTTCATTTTAGCAAAATTCCACAGGAGACTCCTCTGGGTCTTCCCTTGTGCTGAATCCTGCAGATAGATTCATTATAAAGTGGAATAAGAAGCCAGGCGTGTTGGCACATGCCTATAATCCTAGCACTCAAGAAGCTGAGGCAGGAGGATCAAGAGTTCAAGGCCAGCCTTGATCACATAGAGAGTTCAAGACCAGCCAAAACTGAACAGTGAGATCCTGTCTCCAAAAACTAAAACCAACCAACCAAACAAACAAACTAAAGAGCTACCTGGGCTGGGCACAGTGCTGTGTACCAGTAATCCTAGCTACTCAAGGGGCTGAGCCAAGGGGATTGCTTGATCCAAGAGTTGAGACTAGCCGTAGGGCAACATAGGAGCCCTTAGTTCAACAACAACAATGAAAAGATGAATCTGACATTTGACCCAGACCTGTCTTAAAGAAGCTCCCAGCCAACACAGCTAAGAAACAACCTACAATGTGGGAAAAAAATTTTAGCAGCTGTACTTCAGACAAAGGACTACTATCTAGAATCTATAAAGAACTGAAAAAAATCAGACCCCCCCAAATTCAAAGACCCAATTCAAAAATGGGCATCTGAAGTGAACAGACATTTCTCAGACAAAGAAGTAAAAGTAGCAAATAAACGTATGAAAAAACATTCAACATCACTGGTCATTCGAGAGATATAGATGAAAACAACACTGAGATTCCACCTCATCCCAGAAAGAATGGCTGCTATAAAAAAAATCAACCAACATGGACCGGGATTTAGCTCAGTGGTTTCGCCCTCTGCTGTGCAAGCGCAAGGACCTGAGTTTGATCCCCGGTTCCAAAAAAAAAAAAAAAATCAACCAATAACAAATGCTGGCAGGGGTGTGGGGAGAAAGGAACCCTTCTCCATTGCTGGTGGGAGTGCAGACTGGTGCATCACTGTGGAAATCAGTATGGAGATACCTCAGAGAACTAGGATTAGAGGTCCCATTTGCCCCAGCTATTCCCCTGCTGGGTGTCTTCTCAAAAGAATTAAAAGAATCACACCAAAGCGATATATGTGCACCCATGTTTATAGCAGCACAATTTGTAATAGCTAAAGCTTGGAAACGGCCCAAGTGCCCATCAACTGGAGACTGGATAAAGAAAATGTGGGTTTTTTTTAATAAAATGGAGTACTACTCAGCCATAAAGAATGAGAAACTAGAGTCATTTATAGCTAAATGGATGCATATTGAGGCCATACTCTTAAGTGAAATAAATAGGACACACATGTGTACATACCGAATAGTTTCTCTGGTGTGGGAAACTGATAATGTACTTAAGGATTAAAATGATTAAAATGAATAATTGATAATTTGAAATGGGAAGAAAGGGTCCAAGGGGGTAGGGGTAGTGGGAGGGGAAGGGGAAAGGAAAGGAGGGAAAGGAAAAATTAGGAAAAAAGAAAAAAATGGAAACAAAGTCTTTGTAAATAGGGAAGGGTGGAGGGGGTGAAGGGAGGGCAGGGGAATGGGGAAAAAATAAGAACCAAGATATATCATGTACAGGTACAAGTACCCAATGGTAAATGTAAATGTACTGTACACCTAAACTGTACCAATAAAAGAATTTAAGCCAAAAAAAAAAAAAAGAAGTTCCCAGTTTGGGTGAGTGTGGTTGAACCAGAGATGTGTAAAAAAGGATGGAGGGCTGGGGATTTACCTCAGTGGTTTCTCTGCCTCCTGCGCAAGCACAAGGACCTGAGTTTGATCCT